CGAATGTTACTCTTCGTAGGACCGAGATGTATAAATTGTCCACAAGAGACGATGAAAATTATTAATAGTCGCGATGACATATTCGAAACAGGCGCGTGGCGAAGACTTTGGGTTGAAAGATTCGTCCGCAGGGCGTATCGCCGCCCATTAGCCTAAAGGGAGGGAGTGCTATCCTTCACGCGAAGACAAAGCGCGTGAAGATCAAGAGATTTCTGCTTGGACACACGAAGACGTTAGACGTTTTGTTTTATTGGATTTGATTTGTGAGTACGCGAGTGCACAAAGTGCCATTGGGCTGTCGATTGAGTTTTCTGGGATTACGCGACCAGGGAACAACACGGTAGCGAGGATATCTGACTTTTGTGAGCGACGTAACTTCGTGCGAATCTTGGTACCGGATTTTGTTGTTGTTCGTAAGTTTTGACCGCGCGTGTAACGGACACGCGAAAGGAACCATCCCTCACCTCGAATTAGACCAAGGCACGAAGGTCCGTCGACCGGCAGGGTTCACTGTTTACCCCTTAGTAATAAATTTACCCCTCAATTTTTCTCCGGTTTCGGCGCGCCACCTTAGCGGAGGGCCCTCAAAGCAGTTCCACGTTTTTGATTGGTCGTGTATATATAGTAATACTACGCGTGATAATCTGGAGCTGTGTTTTGGCGCGTCGACGCGCCACCTGAACGAGACTCTCGAACTAGTTGCACGTTTTTGATTGATCGAATGAATTCGTGTGTTCCTCGAGACCCACGATTTGAAACCGGGTGAACACTCAAATAGGGAGACTGGAATCCACCCTTTCTTACTGCATATTACATAAACCGTAGTAATGAGGTAGTAAACTTTGCCGATGTTAATTCCCTTAATATCCATATGAAGCTTTGTAAATAATAGAGTCAGCAAATAAAACTTTAAACAAACCCTCGAACGTGGGTAAGCCCAGAAGGATCAGCACCTTGGCAGAGACCAAGTCTTGTTCTATTGCGATAGAAAATAAATGTAGGCATCGCGCTTACACCTTGTCCTGCAGCTGTTTCTGCATATTTATCTACGTCAACCTTCAGAAAAACCGCATTCAGATATTTCACTGAAAGTTGCTCGAACACAGGTGCAATTCTCTGGCATGGGCCACACCTGACTATAGTAGTAGAAAAAATATGTGTAAATGAAAATACAACTGTTATTATTTATTTGTATGTACAGTTTAGAGAATACACATAAATGAATTCATAGTGTGTGATACTTTATACAAAATGATGTTGAAGAAATAAAAGTTAAAATAAATTAAAGTAAATTTACAAAGATAACCTCAATGGTTCTTCTTACCAAGTTGCTGTGAAGTCAACGACAACCAGTTTGGTACCCGCATTGCTCATTTCCCCATGGAATTGGCCGTCGTCGTTAATAACACGAACTGCTCCCATTGTTTGGTGTAAAACTCTACTTCATAAATAACGATACAAATGTATTAAACAGCAACATCAACGGATGACTGGCAGTTCCTTCTGTTCCTTCCTTCGTTTCCTTATAGCTGTATTCCCAATAGCGGACATATGCCAGTAACCAGCCAGTGAGTGGTCCAATGAGGTATACCTATCGACATATAGTACTGGACTGCTCACTGTAGCTGCAGAAAGTGTAATCGGGAATAGAAAGAGAATCCCTCACCTCGAATTAGACCAAGGCACGAAGGTCCGTCGACCGGCAGGGTTCACTGTTTACCCCTTAGTAATAAATTTACCCCTCAATTTTTCTCCGGTTTCGGCGCGCCACCTTAGCGGAGGGCCCTCGAAGCAGTTCCACGTTTTTGATTGGTCGTGTATATATAGTAATACTACGCGTGATAATCTGGAGCTGTGTTTTGGCGCGTCGACGCGCCACCTGAACGAGACTCTCGAACTAGTTGCACGTTTTTGATTGATCGAATGAATTCGTGTGTTCCTCGAGACCCACGATTTGAAACCGGGTGAACACTCAAATAGGGAGACTGGAATCCACCCTTTCTTACTGCATATTACATAAACCGTAGTAATGAGGTAGTAAACTTTGCCGATGTTAATTCCCTTAATATCCATATGAAGCTTTGTAAATAATAGAGTCAGCAAATAAAACTTTAAACAAACCCTCGAACGTGGGTAAGCCCAGAAGGATCAGCACCTTGGCAGAGACCAAGTCTTGTTCTATTGCGATAGAAAATAAATGTAGGCATCGCGCTTACACCTTGTCCTGCAGCTGTTTCTGCATATTTATCTACGTCAACCTTCAGAAAAACCGCATTCAGATATTTCACTGAAAGTTGCTCGAACACAGGTGCAATTCTCTGGCATGGGCCACACCTGACTATAGTAGTAGAAAAAATATGTGTAAATGAAAATACAACTGTTATTATTTATTTGTATGTACAGTTTAGAGAATACACATAAATGAATTCATAGTGTGTGATACTTTATACAAAATGATGTTGAAGAAATAAAAGTTAAAATAAATTAAAGTAAATTTACAAAGATAACCTCAATGGTTCTTCTTACCAAGTTGCTGTAAAGTCAACGACAACCAGTTTGGTACCCGCATTGCTCATTTCCCCATGGAATTGGCCGTCGTCGTTAATAACACGAACTGCTCCCATTGTTTGGTGTAAAACTCTACTTCATAAATAACGATACAAATGTATTAAACAGCAACATCAACGGATGACTGGCAGTTCCTTCTGTTCCTTCCTTCGTTTCCTTATAGCTGTATTCCCAATAGCGGACATATGCCAGTAACCAGCCAGTGAGTGGTCCAATGAGGTATACCTATCGACATATAGTACTGGACTGCTCACTGTAGCTGCAGAAAGTGTAATCGGGAATAGAAAGAGAGAGCAAATCGTAAGGACCGTGGTGTCCTTCTCTTGGGCAGGAGCGAAATCAGGAATAAGGGAACCCCGCGCAGTGAAATGTATGTTTCATGATGAACTTTATTTATATATTTTATAAGTTTAAGAATTGGTTTAACCTTATGTTAAACATACAATTTAAGGTTATTTTTCCATTTTACTTAGTTGTGAAAGCTTATCATATTGGCAGAGATGAGTAGGGAGATTGCCAATGAGCCTGTTTTTGGTGGTCTCAATTTTTCTCTGGTTTCGGCGCGCCACCTTAGCGGAGGGCCCTCGA